TCATCTTCTCTGATGGCTGAGTAATATTCCATTGTATATAGGGACCACAGCTTCTTTATCTATTCATCTGTTGAAGGGCATCTCAGCCCTTTCCACAGTTTCGCTATTGTGGACATTGCTGCTATGAACATTGGGGTGCATGTGGTCCTTCTTTTCACTACATCTGTATCTTTGGGGTAAATGCCCAGTAGTGTAATTGCTGGGTCATATGGTAGCTCTATTTTTAACTTTTTGAAGAACCTCCACACTGTTTTCCAAAGTGGCTATATCAACTTGCACTCCCACCAACAGTGTGATGAAGTTTTAAATTGTGGCTTGTATGTATTTTCTTTGAAATTTCCTGTACATTCATAATAGTGTCTGCTTTTCCCAATACAACAGAATTTCTCAACTTTGGGGGTAACAGAAGAGAATATGAAATTTCCTATTAACAGCTTCTTTGTCTTTACACCTTATATGTTGCTGTAGAAATTTTTCTGTTTCTAATGGAGAATAGGAAAACACCTGTTTTTAGCAACTATGTAATGTAAAGGAGTTCCAGCAGTTTCTCAAGCTCTGGGGTGGGGCGGGGAAGGTGGGGGTTAGATATTTCTTTGTGTCTGGGGCTGTCCTGTGCATTGTACACTGGTGAGCAAATCTCTTTCCTTCACTCACTAAATGTCAGTACGTACCTCTCCAGCCATGAAACCAAAGATGTCTCCAGAAATTGCCAAATGTTCCCTGGGGCAAAATTGTCCCCAAGATGAGAACTATTGCACTAGAGCCTTTGAAATGTGAAGGAGGGTTATTAAAACTCCCCCTCTGCTAGTTTTAAGTCTGGTTCTGACGACTTCTGTATGGGTTGTTTTATTTATTTTTGCTTGTGTTTTTATTTTTATTTTTTATCATGCTATGTTAGTCACCACACAGTACATCATTAGTTTTTTGCTTGTGTTTAATAACTTTTGTTTTGATGCTGGACAATGTGTGTAGAACAGCAGACATGGAGGTATAGGCTATTTATTACTGGAAATAGGCACACCTGTTCTTCTGCTAAGCTGTTTTTGAGGGAGTTGAGCCTAATCAGGAGTCTTTGCACTCCAGGCTTCAATTTATTCTGGTGTTACCTTGTTATCCTGTGCTTACCGTGGGGTTGCTTTGCCAGACGTTTTTTTCTCATTGTTCCACCTTCAGCTGTAGACCTTCCCTGTGTGGCTGTATCAAAGAGGTCTCTCCACATTCTTGCCACTCCCTCAAGAGTTTCTATATTCTCATGATTGTCCACACTCGGGCCTAAGTAATTCATTCAGAAATGTAGGTTCTCTTTAAGCTTTTCTATGGTATGCTGATCACTTCTTTTTGTCCTTTGCCATAGGTCAGCCAGTGCTCTTGATGGTCTCTCTGTGGATGATCCCGTCTTCCCTTAGATATTAGGCTACTTTGTTGTCCTTACCTCTCCTCACTTAAAGGTTCAAGAAAATGAATGATTTTGCAGTTTATGTGGATTTTTTCTTACTGTTAGGTTGAAGGCAATACTTGTTTCCATTTTTTATTTTCTAGGCAGAAGTGGAGATTCTCTCTATTTTCTTATATTTTAATAACTTTGTTTTATTTTTAATTTTTGATTTTAAATCCATCACCATTAGTCATGCAAATTCATAGTTTTAGAAAAGATCCATTCATGGGGGACCTGGGTGGCTCAGTCGGTTAAGTGGCTGACTCTTGATTTCAGTTCAGGTCATGATCTCAAGGGTTGTGGGATCAAACCCTGAATAAGGCTCTGAGCTCAGTGCAGATTCTGCTCATCCTTCTCCCTCTGCCCCCCCCCCCCCACCGCCCGGCTTGTGAGCTTTCTCTCTCTCTCTCAAATAAATAAATAAAATCTTAAAAAAAGATCCATTCACAAAGTTAGTTTTGTGCAGAGGAAAAAGCATTTTATCTGGACATGTAGGAATTTATGAGGGTATATATCTTTAATGAATTAATAACTAATATATTTATCTACTTTTCTCACACATTTATTTACCATTTTAAACATTGAGAATTTGGAAAAATGATACAATAAACACTCATATACTCTCCATCAAGAGTCAATAATTGTTAACATAGTGCCACATTAAAACACCTTTCTCAACTTATTTCCACATATGGATTAAATTTTCTTGCTAAAACATATGATAATATGTGGTAGACATCATGACACTTCATTCTTCAATACTTCTTCAACAAATATTTGAGAATTCAAGGAATGTTCTCTACATAATCACAATACTATCATTATACCCAAGAAAATTAGCAACAATTTCATAATAACTTTCAATATCTGATACATATTCAAATTATCCTAATTGCCTCCAAAATGTTATGGATAGTTGTGTATCTGAACCAGAGTCCCACTGAAATTGACACTGAATTTGTTTGTTATGTCACTTTCATTTCTTTTAATTCAGAGCAGCCTCTAGTCACTTTTATTTTTTTAAAATTTTATTATGTTATGTTAGTCACCATACAGTACATCATTAGTTTTTGATGTAGTTTTCCATGATTCATTGTTCGTGTATAACACCCAGTGCTCCAATCACTTTTTTAAAAAAATTTTATTATGTTATGTTAGTCACCATACAATACATCATTAGTTTTTGATGTGGTGATCTAGTCACTTTTTAAAAATGATATTGATTTTAGATGAGGGCAGGCCAATTGTCTTGTTGAATGCCCATGTTCAAGATTTGCCTGATGGTTTCCTCATGATGTCATTTAAATTGTTTTGTCCCCTGTATTTCATATATATTGAAAGTTAGGTCTAAAAGGACAGATATCAGCAAGCTTCTTCTATAAAGGGCCAGGTAGCAAATATTTTTGGCTTTGTGGCCTTACAGCCTCTGTCACAACTCAACTCTGACATTGTAGCATGAAAGCAGCCATAGATAATACATCGATGAACGGGTGTGGCTGTGTTCCAATAAAACTTTATTAACAAAAACAGGGAACTCCCTGGATTTGGCCTGCATGCTATACTTTGCCAACCCACAGCCTAAAGATTGGATTAGATTTCAGTTAGCCTGATTTATTAATAATTCTTTATTTACTAAAAATGGGATGTTGTAATTTCATGACATATCAGGAGATACATAAAGTCAGTTTGCCCACCACTGATGATATTAAGTTTCATCTTTAGGTTCAGATGGTGGCTGTCAGATCTCCATGTTGCAAATGTATGCTTTGTCCCTTGTAATTAATTGGTAGTCTGTGAGGTGATTCTTTGGCACTGTGGTCCCAGCCTGTTCTCCAAAGCCTTTTACTCAATGCTTGTAGTGGCCATTTATGAGATATTGAATCATGCTCTTCTAATTCTGTTGTATTTTCTGCATCTATTAGATGATTTTTTAAAGTATCAGTGTGTACTCATGGATATGCTTATTTAAAACATTATAATCATGTACAGTCATTTTCCTTGATGTTCAAATTGATACAGAATTGGTCAGAGGGAGCCCTCAGGGAGTTTCTTGTAGGTGTAACTGCTCTGGATTTAGATCTTGCTTAGACTGAGTGAGGGTGAAATAATGTTATCTATAAATACATCTCACAAAATGTGCAGTAGTCATATACACCTTTTTCCACAACTCAACTTATAAAATGTAAAGATGCAGAAACTCTAGTCCCATAGCTCTGATTTTACTCTGATGAAACTTTTTTCCTCCCACATTTAAATTCTGTGAAATCAGGAATTGGATCTTCTTGATCTGTTCCCAGTACATATTTTTGAAATGAATAAATTAGTAAGTCTTTAGAAATGGAGAGTGAAGAAGTTGAGGCATGTATATATGTATGAAGACCAACTGGTCTACTTTGCCTGTAACCAAAGTATTTTCTGGGATGTAATACTTTCAGTACTAAAACCAGGGAAGTCTTGAGCAACTGTGATTTGTTGTTTATACTACATGCAGGTATGTGAATATTACTTTCCTCTCTGATGCTATTTTAGGAAAGTCCTTTGAGGCTGGTTTTCCTTGTTATATATCATCAACCTGAGGAAGAATTTTTGTAAAAGAGGCTTCTCTACTGGGGTATTGGGTCATAGCTCCTGATTATACTGGGAGTGAGATGAGCATGTTGTATGCACCAGAAAACCAAAAGTCTCCAGCAACTGAATGTCAAACATTTACTGCTTACTTTCTCGCACAGTGGTGCCAAGAAGAGTTATTTGTAATAAACATGAAAAAGCATTTTTTATATTCTTTGCCCAAAGGATGGCAGAGAGTGTTTTCTTCATTTCCTAAGAGACAAGTTCGTCAGGTTTAGCTCTTCATTATAATTCTCCTACGAAGAAAGGTGTAAACACGATTTTGTGTTAGAAGGTTAAAGATGTGTACACAGAAAAGTACAAAATATTGTCAAGAGAAGTCTAAGAAGAGAAAGGTTTTGTAAACCTGAACATACAAATGCTAGGAACAATTCACATTGCCAGAATCTCTCCTCTGCCTTCTGTGATTCTCTAGTGAGGTTTTGCAGTGTTTGTGTATTTGGAAATACTAGGAATGATTGCAGACTTTGAAAAGTCTCCAGTCCAACTTAATACTTATTTTACTTTACTTTTATGACTATATATACACGTATTTATTGTTCATCATATACAGGGATGGCATGGAATGACTAGGGATAAAGGATGTGCGGTGATTCTGTGCAGCTTGTGCATCAGTGCTACAGATCCTTATTCCTCATTACTGGGTTGATCACAGCATCATTCTCTGCTTCTGAGTATTTTGTATCTTATCCCTAAGTACAATTAAAAAGGGGTTGCACCCATGTCACACAAAGTGGGTGCTCTACAATTGTAGAGAAAGAGGACAGTCATGTGCAAGGGTCAATGAGAGCATAGAAAGTGAGTGAAAGTATAGGAAGACCTCCTTTCAAGACAGGGAAGTGCCTTCAGGTGAGTTCAGGTGAAAACCAAGTGTGAGCCATCCTAGGGCATCACCTGCTATATACCCAGGTTGTTCAATGAGATGGGCATGAGCTTCTCAAGAGGATTGGTTAGCGAAGTGCTCTGGGAGCACTGCATAATCTTACCACACTGTGTTTGGAGGCATCAGACTTGGTCCTGCTTGAGAAAGTGCACTTCTCAGACTCAGTTTTGGCTTTCCTGACCCCTTTGAACCATTTCTTGTATTGTTCCCAGACCTGCAGAGGCAAAGCATGCTTGGGTCAGCTCACTGAGGGGAGTGAGGATGGTAGGAGGACCGGGTGGAAGTCAGGCAGTGGTACCTGTGGGCTGAGGAGGCAGTACACCAGGAAGATGAAGAAGCCCTGCAGGCTGTTGATGACGGTGAAGAGGTAAGCAATGACATGGGCAGCTGGACCCACCTGCAGGATGCCCAGGCACCATGTGCAGCCCAAGATGAGCAGCTGAGCTGTGGCTTTAAATGTCAGCATCCTGGGTAGGAGGAGAAAGGAGGTCATGATGCACCAAGAGCAACACAACCAGGGCTGGTTTCATGTCCACTCCATGGAAGCTTCTGACTGAGTTGTGATCAACTTTGATCTTTATTGTCAATGATTCCCTAAAGAGAAACACTATTTGGGTCCAGGATGGCATTTTGACTAGGACTGAGGATAATGGTGACACTTGAGAATGTGAGTTTCAAAAAGACCACGATGTTTCATGAAGATCCTGAATTTGTTCAGCTGACATTACTGAGAATGTTCTGTGCACCTGGCTCTAGGCTGGGGCTAGGGCATTCAAAACAACAAAGAGAAGACTTCTGTTTTTATAGACCTTAAAGTCTAGTGGAAAGACAAGAACAAATGATCACTTATAACATTTGTGAAGTGAGGTATTTCTTTCCATCCAGGGCTGTTCCTTTCCTCACCCTGTCCATGAACTGAACTGGGACATGCTTTGCCCAGAATAGAGGCCATTGATTCTGTGCAAAGTTGAGGAAAGCAGAGGACATCCCCAAACTCTTAGATGATGTGATATGTGGATGATGAAGCTGAATTCACCAGGTGCAAGGGAAGGGGAAGGCAGAGGGCAGAGCATGCATGAAGGCATGGGCATGATGGGGTATGCTGGTTCTGGAAACTGTTGTGTGATTTCCTGAGTGTGTTATACGTATGTGAATGTTCTCAGGACCTTTTTCATTGGGCCATGGTAGCAATCCCTGCTTATCAGAACAAAGTCCATTCTCTCTGCAGCTGAAGCAGTTGGTTGTTATGGTTATGCATGGATGAGATGTTTTTGGCATGGGTGTCAGCAGCCAACCCCAGAATCTGAGCTGGCTGCCAAAGAGGGTGGCTGCACCTCTCTCTTCCAGTCCCCCCAGGAGCCCCATGAAGGGACACCAGAGCCTTGGAAGCATGAGGATAATGTTCTGTGTAGGGGGTGGTGTGCACCTGTGACCCATCCTCACCTTGTGTTCTGGAGGGTGGACACATCTCTGTTGACGGAGGAGAGCTTGTTTTTCACAATCCAGAAGGTCATCAGAAAGAAAGCCAAATTAATCTGCAGAAAACCCACAGGTATATTAACTACACTCCACAGCTGGCAAACCTTCGTCCTAGCTCATCCAGCTCCTAACCTGGCAGGGAAGAAGCTTTTGTGTTTGTAACAGTCCTAGAAAAGCAAACCAAACACCCAGTAACTCAGGCCCATGTTTGTCCTGTAACTTCGGTGACCACTTCAGTTTGCACGGGAATTCCAAATTTTAGCACTGAAAGTACCACATCTCAGGAAACACCTTAGTCCTGGTTTTATAATGGGAATTTTCACCTCCTGGGAGCCCCTCATCAGTCCTGGGCCAACTGGAATGACTGCTCACCCTGCCTGTCACCCTCCTGATACACCTGGTCTTTGAATAACCCTCAGCTGGGCAGGCGGGCTGCTCTGATGTCATCCATTACTCACGGAGAAAATGGTGCAGACGGGACCAAGAAAGATCCATATGAATCCTTTGTCTGTGTGGAGCCAGCATCTTAGAGAGAGATGAGAAGAGATTCAAGAAAATATTGGCTTTCATAGACAGAGGACTGATAAATAAACATACAGCTCCCCTCCTAATGTTTCCTTCTGCCTTCATCATTATTATCATTTTTTTTGTTAAAACACTTAACATACCCTCCTAGTAAATTTTAAGTATAGAATACACTATTATTAGCTATATGCGCTATGTAATATAGATCTCCTAAACTTATTTATTTTGCAGAACTACAACTTTGTAAACTTTGTATGTGCCTTTGATGGTGGCAATGGTTTCATGGGTGTTAGCCCCAAACTCATCAGGTTGTGTACATTAATTACATATGGTGTTTTACATGTCAATCACACCTTAATCAAGTGGTCTTTAAAAAAAGATAAGTTCCTTTCAAAAAACTCTTCTATGTCTTGGCCCCCAGATATGCTGGCAGAAATAAACATAATTTTTAAAAAAGAAAATAACAGTATTGATCAGTAAATTAATTTATGGGTTTTTTTGGATAAGTATTGAGTGTCTCCTCTGTGTCAGGATCTGTGCTTGGCTCTGAAGACCCAGTTGGGATTAGAGAAGTGATCTCAGTCCTCAGGGAGACACAGATGAAGTTGGAGGATCAACAATTAGACAATAGACAAAGTCAAGATGATGAATTTTATGCCCAAGTATGAGGAGCTTTGAGGATATGTAGCTGGATCCATAACCTAGTCCAGGGTATAGGAGATCCAGATAGTTGGGAAAGATTTCCCTGAAAGAACTGAATTGTGTTTAAGCTGAAATATGAGTGATGAGTGGGTGTACACAGGTGAAAATTTTGGACCATCCAAGAAATGAGTGAAAAAGCCCAAATGAAACAAAACAGTGAGCCTGCCCCAGCAGTAAGGCTCACGTGCATTACATAACTTATTCCTCATGAGGACACAGGTACACACACACTCACAGGTCAGGCATCTCAAGGCCACACTGAGAGCAATGACAGAGCTGGACTTTATCTTCAGGGTGGGGAGCTGTGAGTGAGGTGGGAGGTGTGAGGACTAGGGAGAGGGTCAGATAGACCCAGCGGGAAACATCAAAGGGAAGTTTCGAAGGTAGGCATTGGCAAAGCAGGCGGCTGCCGCCTGCTCTTATAAGTGGGTTTTACTGGAACACACACTCATTCCCTCCTGAATTGTTTGTGGCTCTGTTTGTGCTCTGAGGACAGAGCTGAGTAGTTGCCGCAGAGACCATAAGACCAACAAGGTTGGAAATATTGATTATCTGGCCTTTTATGGAAAAAGTTCATTGACCTTTACGCTCAACTCCCTAGGGAGGCCAGCTGGCCAGGGCTCCCTGATGCAGCTGAGTAACTCCTGTCATCAGGATAAGCGCATAGTGTGAGCACCAGACTGGAAGTGACCCCAGCTCTGCCACCAACCAGCTGTGTGACCTTGGCCACGTTAGTTAATCTCCTTGTGCCTCAGCTACTCATCTGTAATATGGCCCAATACTAGTTTCTACTGCACAGGTTGTTGGGGGGGATGATTTGAGCTGACACGTGAAAAATATTTAGAACGGTGATTGTACATCAGAAGTGATTTCTAAATCTTAGCTGTGGTCACAGTGATTTTGTCATCCAAATGACCCTTCGTTTCTTTTAAAATTAGGATAGAGAAAGAGTTTACACAAATTAATGCCATTTATTCATTTCAGTTTTGCTTTCTGGAAGATTTAAAACTGTTCCCTCAATTGATGCAATGAATACTATATTAATATATATTTACTAATACATATGATGCTATTTATATTATGGACTATAGTCACTAATACAATATAGTTATTAACATAATATACACTTAATATTTAAAATAAATCTAAAAGATTAAAAAGTAACCTCATTTATCTTAACTAGATTAATTTGTAATTATTAAACATCATCAGTATATTAGTGTATAGTTATTAACATAATGCACTTTATTATTTAAATAGATAATTATTAACATACATTATAATTAACATTTAAAACAATTATATCTTAACGACTTAAAAACAATTACTTCAATGAATGCAATCTTCCACCAGGTAGATGTCCTTGGAGTGGTCACTGACCTTTTCTCTGCCTATCATGATCTGGTGGAATTAAATAACTGTTGGTTCTATGATGGCCATAGTCATGCTAGAGAAGATGGGAAGGACAGTGGGAAATTGCATTTACCGGGTGGGTGTTCCATAAAGGTGAGGCCTGGATGCCGCAGAAATGGCCACAATTATAGCCGGGACTCCATAGGCCACAGGGGACATGAGCTTCTTCATGACCCTGCTCACACTGGAGTAGCTGACCACCGTGAGGTTGCGTGCAGTGAGGAAGAGGTGCAGACCCTCCAGCAGCATCCAGGTGAAGGACGCCAGGTAGAGATAGTGTAGGGCACCCGCAATGATGGCACACAGAACCTGGGGGAGGAGAAAGGTGTCACCAGGAGGGACTGTCAGGGAGGAGGGTGGCCCCAGGACCTGTACCATACTTTGCCATTGAAGAGAACTCCCATGTATATGGTCGAGTTGTCAGGAGAGGGTTTGTCTCCTAATGTCTTCCATTCATTAGTCAATGTGAAATAGACTACTTACCCCTCTACCCTCCCCAGAACCCAAGGCCAGTTTATTAAGATATCATTGCAGCACAGCTCCATGAACTGAGCACCCCTGGGACAGGGCAGGAGCTCCTCTGTGACACTGTCAGTACCTTGATCTCGGTCCGGTTGATGGCCGTGAGGAAGAGCAGTTGGGCCAGGAAGAGGCAGATTGACAGCTGCAGGTGGAGTGAAGTGCTGGTGTTCTGGATGGCTTTGCACAGCAGGAAGGTGAGGGCTGCCAGGAGGAGGCACAGCAGAGAGAGGCTCAGCCCCAGGTAGGTGATCACAGCCAGCGTGGGATCCTCCTCCTGGGATCCAGCAAAGAGAAGCAAAAAGGACATCACAGTCACATTTTCCTACTCTGGGGTAATTTAAAAATCTTCTATTTAAAAAATTTTTATTTTATTTTTATTTTTGCTGTAGCCAAATCAGGAAAGAAGGATGTAGGTAGATTTGTTATGTTATTGGGTAAATTCCTCCAGGTTCAGAATGCTAGAATGGAAATCTGAACTGATTAACTCAGACCTTGGAAAAATTGAGGGGTAGGAGAGTCCTTACTTAAGACAGAGACCAGGAACTCACAAGGGTTTATTTTACTTTACAAATCACCTAAGTAAGTCTTTGATGTGATGATCCAGAGGAAGTAACCAGCTCACCTAGCCAGTGGAGCAGGCAAACATAGTTCCTAACCCACCTGTACTCACTGGCTTTCTTGGCCCCTTTGACCTCTGCCACCACCAAATCTTCCTTTCTACAGCCCCTGAGAGCCACTTTCTACAGCCTTCCTGTCCTGAAGACCCCTGTGTTAAGCAGAAATCTAATTTGTCAATAATAGGTGTACACACACTTTCTTCTGGATTTTCAGTTAAATGCCATTTTAGATGTTGCTCTGAAGGGATTTTGCAGGTGGAATTCAGATCCTAGTCTTTAAGAGAGGGAGTCTTGTTGTGGGTGGGCCTGGCCTAATCAAGTTAGCTTTAAAAGCTCTGGGCTCTTGGAGAAAAATGATTCAAAGTATGAGAGTGTTTGCGGTGAGGGAGCTCTTCCTGCTGGCCTCTGAATAGAAATGCTGATACACTGTGTGAGGGCTGCTAGAGAAGGAATGCAGGCAGCCCCTAGCTTGCTGAGCAAGGTCCCCTGCTCACAGCTAGCTAGAAAGTGGAACCCCAGTCCTATGACTGCAAGGAAGTGAATCCTGCCAGCAACCAGGGAGCTCACAGGAGGAAACTGAGCTGCAGAAGAGAATGTAGATCTGGCTGATTTTCAGGCTTGTAAGACCCAGAACAGCACCTCAGGACTACCATGCCCGAGCTGACCCAAAGAAACCACAAGATATAAATTTCTGTTTTTTTTAAAGCCCCTACATGTGGGGGAAATATATTACAGAGCAATTAGCATGGAATCCAGCCCCTTGCAGGGCTCTCACCTGCACATAATAGTGGGCCATGAGGACTGCAAAGCTGCTGAGGTGGGTGCACTGGCAGGTGGTGCTGGTGTCTCCAGTGGCCACCATCCTGCAGCCTGTGGTGGACCAATGACCATATCCATCTGGAGTGTGATCCCAGAAGACACAGAACACCTTTTGCATCGGCCCACGGGTCACTGACTGTAGAAACAAAGTGTAGGTGGAAGCTGGTTTTCCGGTGCTCAGAAATGCTTATCCAAAGCTGGCTTGCAAACGGCTTTTTTGGGGAATGATGCACCCATGGGGGAGCCCCCAAGAACCTCAATGAAGACTGAGCTGGGCAGCGAGGCTGTGCCCAGGACCCAGGCTCCTTCCACCTCCACAGTCCCATCTCACCAGCACTCACATGGTGGGAGAAGATGAAGGTGATGGGGGAGCTGAGGTTCTGGGTTTCCCTGTTGCCCATAAAGGCAGAGATGACATTTGAAAGCAGGACAGGGGAGACTCCTCGCAGCACGCCCTTGTGTGTCCCATGCAGAACTGCCTGCCTCTCAGGCTCCAGGACCAAGGGGGCCTCAGCCAGCAACTTGCCCATCCTTGGAGTGGAGACAAGGCCCACCACAGAAAGATCTGCAGGAAGAGGCCAATGTTGATACTTTGGGGTTCCCACAGGGCCCCTTCCTCCTCAGAGGGACTCTTTGTGGCTCCACTAACCCCCCCTTTCCCTTTAATCTTCAGTTCCCCATTTGTCACATCCTTGGGCATCTTGTGACCTTCCTCCCATCTCAGCCAGTACCTGAGTCATCAGATTCGTGCATTACATCCCAGTTCAGCAGCATCTTCACCTGATTCTGACTCAAGATGACATTTCTATCTCCTTGCTCCCGCACCTTCAGGGACAGGTCTATAAGATGTCAGAGTTGTATAAGGGAGTTAGATTAGTATTTGTGGCTGTAGTGGTTGGTATAACACCACTTTATGTGTGTATATATGATGTATGTAGAAAAATATTTTATACATTACCTAAATCTATAATATAAATACTTTACATAAAATATAAATTTATATAAAAGCCATATATAATATATAATATTGAATATCCTATATTATATAATTTATAGAATACACACATAATATAATATATGCATATAACATATGCATGTTCTAGATCTATATATTATATATTAATAATAGTATTATTTGGCACACATAATAACAATATTACACATATTTGGTATACATAATAATTTTATATATGTATATAATTTGAATTTATCAAGGGTCACAAGAGAATATTATAAGCAATTATTCAACAGCAGGTTAGATAACCCAGATGAAATGAGGAAATTCCTAAACAGTCACAAACTACTGAAACTGACTTTTTTTAAAATTAAGTTCAATTAGCCAATATATAGTACATCATTAGTAAAACTGACTTTAGAAGAAACAGAAAATCAGGACAAACCTGCAATAAGTAAAGACATTGAATCGTTTATCAAAAGCTTCCCCAAACGAAAAGCCCACACCAGATGGCATTGTTGCTGAATTCTATCATCCATTTAAGGATGGTACCATCCATTTAAAAGACTAATCCTTTGTAAACTTCTCCATTAAATAAAATAAAATAATGTAAAATAATATAGAAAGGAATACTACCTAAATAATTCTATGAGGTCACCATCACCCTGTAAACAAAACCAGATAAAGATATCACAAGAAAAAAAAAAAACTATAGACCAATCTCTTATGAACATAGATGTCAAAATAGTCAACAAAATATAAGGAATAATTTTATCCAAGGATGCTCAAGACTTGTAAGCCGAAAACTGTATTCATGGGTGGGAGAATCAATATTGTTATGATGGTAATGGTCCCCACAGAGATGTACAGATTCAGTGCAATCCCTATCAGGATTCCAAAGCAATTTTAGTTATTTAAGTTTTTGCAGAAATGGAAAAGCCCATCCTAAAATCCACAGGGCATTGCATATACCCAAATACTATCTTGAAGATGAAAAACAAAATTGGGGTACTTAACTTCCTAATTTCAAAACTGACTACCAACCTACAGTAATCAGAACAGGAGGGCACTGGCATAAGGATAGTCATACAGATCAGTAATATAGAATTGAAAGTCCAGAAACAAGCCCATACATCCATGGTTAATTAATTTCCAACAACTGGTGCCAAGACCCTTCAGTGGAAAAAGAAAAGTCTCTCTAACAAATGGTCCTGGCACATCTGGCTATCCACACACAAAAGAAGGAAGCTGGAACCCTACCTCACACAACACACAAAAATTAGTTCAAAATGGGTCAAAGACCTACATTAAAATTTTTTTTAAATTTATTTTATTTTTAATTTAAATTCAATTAATTAACATATAGTGTATTATTAGTTTCAGAAGTAAAATTTAGTGATTCATCAGTTGCATGTAACACCTAGTGCTCATTACATCAAGTGCCCTCCTTAATGCCCATCACCCAGTTAGCCCATTCTCCCACCCACCACCCCTCCAGCAACCCTCAGTTTGTTTAAGAGTCTCTAATGGTTTGTTTCCCTTTCTGATTTCGTCTTATTTTATTTTTCCTACCCTTCCCCTAAGTTCATCTCTTTTGTTTCTTAAATTCCACATATGAGTGAAATCGTGATATTTGTCTTTCTCTGACTGACTTATTCCGCTTAACATAATACCCTCTAGTTCCACCCACATTTGTTGCTAACGGAAAGATTTTGTTCATTTTAACTTATCAAACTCAACACCCAAAGAACAAATGATCCAATCAAGAAATGGGCAGAAGATATGAACAGACATTTCTCCAAAGAAGACATCCAAATGGCCAACAGACATATGAAAAAATGCTCAACATCAGTCAGCATCAGGGAAATACAAATCAAAACCACAATGAGATACTACCTCACATCAGTCAGAATGGCTAAAATTAACAAGTCAGGGAATGACAGATGTTGGTGAGGATGCAGAGAAAGGGGAACCCTCCTACACTCTTGGTGGGAATGCAAGCTGGTGCAGCCACTCTGGAAAACAGTATGGAGGTTCCTCAAAAAGTTGAAAATAGAGCTAGCCTATGCCGCAGCAATTGCACTACTGGGTATTTACCCCAAAGATATAAATATAGTGATCTGAAGGGGTACCTGCTCCCCAATATTTATAACAGCAATGCCCACAATAGCCAAACTATGGAAAGAGCCAAGATGCAAGATGTCCATCACAGATGAATGGATAAAGAAGATGTGATATATATGTACATACATATATATATATATATACACATACATATATATATATATATATATAATGGAATTTTACACAGCCATCAAAAATGAAATCTTTCCATTTGCAATGACGTGGATGTAACTGAGGGTATTATGCTAAGCAAAATAAGTCAATCAGAGAAAGACAAGTATCATATGATCTCACTGATATGTGGAATTTAAGAAATACAATAGAGGACCATAGGGGAAGAGAGGAAAAAATAAAACAAAATGAAACCAGAGAGGGAGAAAAGCCATAAGAGACTGTTAATCAGAGGAAACAAACTAAGGGTTGCTGGAGGGGAGAGGGGTGGAGGGATGGGGTAACTGGGTGATGGATATTAAGGAGGGCATGTGATGTAATGAGCACTGGGTATTATATAAGACTGATGAATCACAGAGTTGTACCTCTGAAACCAATAATACATTATATGTTAACTAAAATAAAAGTAAATAAATAAAAAAAGATTTCATTCTTTTACTGGCTGGGTAATATTCCATCGTATATATACACCACATCTTCTTTATCCATTCTTCTGAAAGACCTACAATTATGAGGTGAAACTAGAACTAGAACTAGTTAGGAAGGAGGAACACAGGTGTAAATCTTCATGGCCTTGGGTTTGGCAATGGATTCCTAGATATGACACCAAATGCCCACACAACAAAAGAAAAAACAGAGAAAATGGATTTCATCACTTTAATGTTCATTAAAGTGAAAAGACCACGGAGAAAGTGCAAAGACAATCTATGGAATGGGAGAAAAAATTAGCGAATCACATGTCTCATAGAGTCTACTATTAGAATATATAAAGAACTCTTACAGCTCAACAACCAAAAGCCAAACAATGAATTAAAAAATAGGCAAAGGACTTGCATAGACATTTCTCCAAAAAAGTTACACACATGTTCAACAATTACACAGAAAGATGGGAAACATGATTAATCATCAGGGAAATGCAAATCAAAATCACCATGAGATATCCCCTGACATACACTGAAAAGACTACCAAGAAACAAAACAAAAGGAAAATAGCAAGTGTTGCTGAGGGTGTAGAAATTAGAGCCTATTGCTGGTGTGGATGGAAAATGAAAAAAATCACCTCTTTGGAAAATAATTTGGTAGTTCTCAAAAAATTGAACATAGAATTACCATATAACTCAAGCTCCAATCCTAATTGTGTACCCCAAAGAACTGAAAACAGTTATTAAAACAAAAACATCTGAACCAATATTCATAGTAGTACTATTTGCAATGGTCAAAAGGTGGTAAGAAACTAAATGTCCATCAGTCGATGAAGGGCTGAACAAAAGGTGTTGTATCCATATGCAATGGAATATTATTCAGCCATAAAAAATAATGAAACACTGATAGATGCTACAACATGGATGAGCCTTGAAAACATTATGCTAAGTGAAAGAAGCCACACTATAAAGAAACATAGTGTATGAGTCTCTCTATATGAAATGTCCAGAATAAGCACATCCATAGAGAGAGAAAACAGACCAGTGGTGTCTGGCAATGATTATAACTCCATGAATATACTAAATGCCATTGAATTAGGGCGCCTGGGTGGCCCAGTTGGTTCAGCACTGGACTCTTGGTTTTGGCTCAGGTCATGATCTCAGGGTCATGGGATCGAGCCCCACGTCAGGCTCGTGCTCAGTGGGGAGTTTGCTTGAGGTTTCTCTCTCCCTCTCCCTCTGACCCTCCCTTCTGCTCTTACTCTCTCTCTTTCTAAAATAAATAAATAAATCTTAAAAAAATAACTGCCACTGAATTGTACACTTTGTTTAAAATGGTGAATTTTATGGTATGTGAATTTTACTTCAAATAAACAAATAAAATACTTAAATATCAGATAATATTAAATTCATATTATTCCAAATTAAATAAATTGTTTTCTTGGGAAGCCATTTCTATTTTATCTTAAATTCTTCATTAATTATTAATTAATCGTTATCATTAATTCATCTGCTCATAATTTATTTTATATTAACATGTATATTATTTATAGTTTTATTCATTTATTTTTTATTGAGGTATAATTGACATTAATTTCAGGTGTACAACATAATGATTTATCAATTGTATATATTGCAAGATGATCACCACAGGAAGTCTAGTTAACATGTGGCACCATACACAGTTACAAAATTTTTTTCCTGTGATAAGAACTTACAAGATTTACTCTTGTAGCAACTTTGAGATATGTAACATAGTATTATTAACTATAGTCACATGGTACCTTACATCCTGTGACTTATTTATTTTATATCTTCTGACCCCCTTTCGCCCATTTAGCCTACTGCCCCACCCCCACATGCCTCACCAGCACCCCTCTCACCCCCACCCATGGCAACCACCAATCTATGAGCTTGTGTGTGTGTTTATTTATTTATTTTTTAAGATTCCACATATAAGTGAGATCACCTGGAATTTGTCCTTCTATGACTTATTTTACTTAGCATAATTTATTTATTTCTTTGTAAGCACTTATTTTAATTTGTTTATACATGTAACACTGAGATACAAGCATGGTCACTCTGCTCCAGTGAGGCTGGGGGACAAAGGAGGCCTGGAATAGGCAGAGCAGAGCCTGGGGCAGACCCCAGTACTTACTTGTGCCTGCAGATGCATTGAAGGTCAATGTCCCATTGGGCAGGGTCTGGCTCAGGTTTCTCAAGACATGCTCCAGGCCAACGAGCAGGTTAGTGGCCACAGAGTGCTGCTCTGAGCGGGGCAGGGCCTCCAGGTCCTCAGGGGTCTCAAGCAGCTCATCCACACCCTGTACAAGGTCCTGGGGGGATGGGGACACAGAAGTAGTGCATCATGGGCCAGACAGACTGCATGAAGAGGCTGTCCACTTAGCCTCAGAATAAAGATCCTAGAGACTGTCTATCTGTTTGGGATTTCCTGGGATTGCCCTGGAATCCAGCCACTCATGGTCAATCCTGTTCATGAATGCCAAGGATGACATAAACCCAATTTCCAGGAACAGTAAGATGAAAGGTTGTTAGTAGGCGCAGGTGGGTTTCTAACAGTGAGTACAAATACCTGGATGTCTGCTCTTCCCACCCACCCTGGGAGAGGTGGGGCCTCAGGGAGGCCACCACTGTGTTGGGAATGCCTCTTTCCACACCAAGGCTTTCCTGGGCCTTCATGGGATGCTTCCAACTTGTCTCCACTGGATTCTGACCTTACCTGGATAGTGTCCTGGACAAAGGCTGGTATGAAATTTCTGCCCAGATCTTGAACTCTTTCAAAGAAGTGGGAGAGTCTCTAGGGAGAGGGAAGATGAGGAAGTCAGACAGCCTCAATGTGGATGCAGAAGCTTGGGGAAAATGGCGGCCATGAAGGGTGGGGAGCCCATGCTTTGAGGAAGGATTTCCTGTCTCCTGGTGCCAGCTGGGGCCACTCACCTGGCTCTTGATTCCACGGGGTGGGGTCCAGGTGGGAAAAAAGATGCCTGCAGGGGACAACAGTGGTTGATTAGGTGTGAGAGCATCTGTGTTTGGGATGGGGGAAGGGGCCTGGGGTCAGGTCAGGGCCAGGTACCTTCCCAGGTGGTCATTTGGTTATTCAGGGACCCTAGTTTGGGCATAGAAGCATCAGGAAGGCCCCACTCTCTCCTCCCTAGTGAGTGGGTGTCTTTTCTTATTCATACAGAGGTGTGTTAATGGGTGAATGTGGTGGCCCAGCTGCTCAGCTGTCCAGATATGGATGGAATTGGCCCGAATCCTCCTGTTTTCAGCTCCAGTGCTCTTAGCTTCCCTGGGCAGCTTTCAGCCAGGGTGGGAACATCATGGTCATTTTTGTCCCAGCCTGAACATTTGGACAAAGACCAGAGTGGGTCTTCTAGGCAACCACGTGCCCGGAATATGCCACATTTCCCAACAAGGATCCTGTCTGACTCCCAGTGATGGCTTTTGTTTTAATTCCCTCAGGGCAACTGCTCACTTGCTGGTCCCCGATGATATCTTCCATTGCTATCTGGTCTAGACAGGAGCCACTTCTCATCACCCAATTCTCCGTGTGTGTATGGGGGTGGGTCCGTGTTACTCTGTGTAGACACCACACAACATCCTCCTGGGTCCTGGTCATCTGGTCTGCTCTCAGGATTGTGAATTGAAATTATTGAGGAGAGTCAGGGTAAGCTTTGTGCAGGGAAATAGACAGAGGCCCAGCAGCTGAGAAGAGGGGTCTGGAGGCTGAAATTGTTGGCCAAGGAGAGTGCAGGCCCAGGAAAGGGGGATGGCCCTCCCATCTTCCCACTGCAGTGTTTCTGGATGGGGTCCCTGGGTCCAACATGGCCCAAGAGATCTGAGAGTTTTCCTAGCATGGCCAAGCCCAAGTAGGCTCTGGTGGGGAAAGGTCTCATCCTGGCCATCACTGATGTTGGTGAAGAGGAAGGATTTTGCACTAGAAACTATGTGCTGTGGAGCTCCTGAAATATCTTGAGTGCCACTTTTTTTTTTATTCACAAAAATAAAATGCCAGGGAGCAAGGGGGATTTTTGAACTTTCAGAAGTGACCCTCTACAGAGGGTTCTGAGCCTTGGAGTTCAAAGAGATATGGGTGCCTGGGTAGGTGCTGAGGATGTTCTCTGATGCCTGGAGAAAGTGAGCTAAGTGACTCCAAACTTTGTGGATGAGGAGATGGAAGCCACAAGTCAATTCTTACCTTGACACGTGTTCTCACTCTCATCCCTGAACGTTCTTGCCCCAGAAGCAAGCTTGTATCCTGGGCTGCATGTACAGTAGTAGCTGCCCTCTGTGTTCCAGCAGTCTGCAAATTTTCCACAGGACACTGCCAAGGGTGGTGCACACTCATTGATGTCTGGAACACAGCAGGGCAAAGGGTCACCTCCCAAAGATGTGAGTTCCCATAGGGCAGAGGTGCTGGCCTCCAGCCTAACTCAGCCAACAGGACTGGAGAGAACTCAGCTTGCAGGTGGCATTCCTGGGGCAGGTCTGAGCTGGAGCCAGCTGCTCCAAATGCCTGCTCACTGTTCTGTTCATCTCTGCTCTCTGGCTGGGACTGAGGGCACCTAGATTCAGACACCCTGCTGTGCCATCGTGGGGGCTGGAAGGAGGTCTACATCCCCTTCTGCAGGCCTTGTGGGGTGGGCAGAGGCACTGAACCTCTGTTTGCACTATTGGGGACCTGGGGGTGGGCTCCAGTCAGGTTGACAGTGGCACTGAAGTCCACTCTCAATGCTGAGTCGGTGAAGGGAGTTATGGCTGGAGTCTGTCCAGGGTACCACTCTTTCACATCTGAGGATAAAGCCAGGTGGTCAGGCCCCTGCGCATTGACAGGCTCCACCTCCCATTACTCACAGAAGCCCAACTACACAGTCATCACCTGCTGCCCCAAGCTGCCAATGTCAGGCATTTTTAAGATGCCCAAAGATGTCTTTGTGGGGGTCCTACTAGCTCCACTCCTGAAGGAAGTCCCCTCTTGTCAGAGACATTGAGGATGTGAAGTGAAGGAGCTACACGAAGTGTCTCACAGCTGAGTCATTGGGGATATTGTCTTGCATCTTATCTCTCCCAGTTCTTTAAACAAGAGAGGAAAGATATCCATTAGCCAGGTCCTCTTTGAGTAGCTCAGGGACTCATAGAGCAGAGGCTGAACACTGTTGGCTAAAAATAACAACAGTTTTATAAGAACCATGGACACAAGAATGAATCAAAATGTAGGGACAGAATATTTGGTACTATGCATTCCAATACATTCAGAGTTTCTTCTCTGCACCTTGGACTTCCCTTCTAAGGTTCCAGGCTCAGGCTATGGGTGTCAACACCAGGACACAACCAGATGTGGGAAGATGCACATCTGACACATTCATGTTTGCCCCTATCTGGACAATGGGACTGCCCTCCTCTCTTCTCAGATCGTGGTAATGGCCTGTCTTCAAGGTTGTGGGATGGGATAGAGTTGAGTGGGGGTCAGCTGAGAATAAGGTGCAAAGTGTGGAAGGCATGAGGACAGGAAACTCCTCAACCAGACAGATGTGCTCCCAGAAAGGAGCTGGGATCCAGTTATATTAGCAGTAGGATCTCCTTGCCATGCTCACCCAGCCATGAGTTTCCATGAGACACACACGCAAATGCACCAAAGCTGGCTAATTGTCACAACATCTTTTTTTTTCATCTGATAACATCTTTTCCCCAAGTACTAAATGACACATGAATCTTAGAAAACAAAGAAAATGTGAAAAATGAGAACAAAGAAAATCAACTGTAAGTCCACTATATATGGACTACTGGAAGATTTAGGATATTTTTTTCCTCAGCTTTTCAAACATACTAGGAACATTTTCCCTTATTATCAATAAATATGCATCTAAGATGATTAGATGAAGAATATTTCTTGGTGTGAAAAATTGTTTATTTCCCCTTTTCCCTACTAATTTTTTTATTGTGGTAAAATGCCCATAACATAAAATTTACCATGTTAACCATACTTAAGTTATATAAATTTCTTTTATGATCTTGCATTGTTGAAGAATAAAAACTCTTTTGTTTTAGACCTTGATCGAGGTTCTACCTTGATCTAGGTTATTAACTGTGACTTTGGATAAATCAATCTCTTTGATCCCAATTATGATCATTTGAAAAATGAATCCATAAAATTCATAGAAAAAAACACAGGGGATAAGTCTTTGAAATTGGTCTCAGCACAGATTTTTTGGATTTGACTCCAAAAAGCAAAGATAAATTCCAATGACATTCTTCAAAGTGCTGGAACAAACAATCCTAAAATTTGTCTGGAATCAGAAAAGACCCCGAATCACCAAGGAAATGTTGAAAAAGAAAAACAAAGTTTTGGGGCATCACGTTGCCTGATTTCAAGCTACATTACAAAGAAGTGATCACCAAGACAGCATGGTACTGGAACAAAAACAGACATATAGACCAATGGAACAGAATAGAGAACCCAGATTTGGACCCTCAACTGTATGGTCAAATAATCTTTGACAAAGCAGGAAAAAACATGCAATGGAAAAAAGACAGTCTCTTCAATAAATGGTGCTGGGAAAATAGGAAAGCTACATGTAGAAGAATGAAACTCGACCATTCTCTAACACCATACACAAAGATAAACTAAAATGGATGAAAGACCTCCATGTGAGACAGGACTCCATCAAAATCCTAGAGGAAAACATACGCAATAACCTCATTGACATCGGCCACAGCAACCTCTTTCAAGATACATCTCCAAAAGCTAGTGAAACAAAAGCAAAAATGAACTTTTGGGACTTCATCAAGAGAAAAAGCTTCTGCACAGCAAAGGAAACAGTCAACAAAACAAAGAGGCAACCCACAGAATGGGAGAAGATATTTGCAAATGACACTACAGTTAAAGGGCTGGTATCCAAGATCTATAAAGAACTTCTCAAACTCAACACACAAAAAACAAATAATCAAGTCAAAAAATGGGCAGGAGACATGAACAGACACTTCTCTGAAGATGACATACAAATGGCTAACAGACACATGAAAAAATGTTCATCATCATTAGCCATCAGGGAAATTCAAATCAAAATCACATTGAGATACCACCTTACATTAGCCATCAGGGAAATTCAAATCAAAATCACATTGAGATACCACCTTACACCAGTTAGAATGGCAAAAATGGACAAGGCAAGAAACAACAAATGTTGGAGAGGTCGTGGAGAAAGGGGAACCCTCTTATACTGTTGGTGGGAATGCAAGTTGGTAGAGCCACTTTGGAAAACAGTGTGGATGTGCCTCAGAAAATTAAAAATGGAGCTACCTTATGACCCAGCAATTGAACTCCTGGGTATTTACCCCAAAGACACAGATGTAGTGAAAAGAAGGGCCATATGCACCCCAATGTTCATAGCAGCAATGTCCACTATAGTCAAACTGTGGAAAGAGCCGAGATGCCCTTCAACAGATGAATGGATAAAGAAGATGTGGTCCATATATACAATGAAATATTACTCAGCCATCAGAAAGGATGAACACCCAACTTTTACATCAACATGGATGGGACTGGAGGAGATTATGCTAAGTGAAATAAGTCGAGCAGAAAAAGTCAATTATCATATGGTTTCACTTATTTGTGGGACATAAGGAATAGCATGGAGGACATTAGGTGAAGGAAGGGAAAAATGAAGGGAGGGAAATCAGAGGGAGAAATGAACCCCGAGAGAGTATGGACTGAGAAACAAACAGAGGGTTTTAGAGGGGAAGGGGATGGGAGGATGGGTTAGCCTGGTGATGGGTATTAAGGAGGGCACATATTGCATGGAGCACTGGGTGTTGTATGAAAACAATGAATGGTGGATCCCCACATCAAAAACTAATGATGGCAAGATTTCATTCCTTTTGGTGGCTTCATAATATTCCATTGCATTATATACCACATCTTCATTATCCATTCATCTGTCAATAGACATTTTGGCTCTTTCCCCCCCCAAAAATATGAAAAATTCTCATTACCAACAGTATTCAGTGAAATAAATGTAAATTAAAACAAAACAAACAAAAAAACTAATGATGTATTGTATGGTGACTAACATAACATAATAAAATAAAGTTAAAAAAAAAAAAGAAGTGGGAATACACCAAACTAAAAATATTTTGTAAGTCAAGGCAAACATCAACACAATGAAAAGGCGATCTATAATTTAGGAGAAAATATTTGCAAATCATATATCTGAGAAGTGAATAACATCCAAAAAATATAAAGAGCTCATTCAACACAATAGAAAAAACCTAAACAATCCAATTTAAAAATGGGCATAGGGGGCGCCTGGGTGGCTCAGTTGGTTAAGCGACTGCCTTCAACTCAGGTCATGATCCTGGAGTCCCGGGATCGAGTCCTGCATCAG